AGGGGGTGCAAGGGGGGGTTACAGGGCTGCATTGGGGGGGACAAGGTGGGGGTTATAGGGCTGCAATGGGGGGGCAGGGCAGGGGTTATAGGGCTGCAATGGGGGGTCGCTCCTGGGGGGCACCTCGGGGTGGGGATGTGTTGGGGTGTCACAGAGGGGGCACTGGGGGGGTCCCCAGCTCTGCCCCCCCTCCCCGCAGCCAGCATTGCCCCCCCAGCCCCTTGCCGGGGTCCTGCCCGTGTCCCCCGGTCCTGGGCAGCGCGGAGGCCCCGTCCCCATGTGACACCCCCCACCCCGGGGTCTGGTCCGCAGGGGCCCTGGGGTGGCGTTCGGAGCGTCCGGTGGCGCTCGGACACCGCCGGCGAGGCCGGGACCGGTCCCGCACCGACCCTGCCGGAGCCGCCGCCGCCGGGCAGCTGCTGCATGAGCGGCTGCGCGCGCTGCGTGTGGGTCGTGCACGCCGAGGAGCTGCTGCGGCGGCACGGCCCGGCCGCGCTCGAGCAGCACGTCCCGGACGAGAGCGTCCGCGCCTTCCTGCGCCTGGAGCTGCGGCTGCGCGCGCCCAACGCCACACCCGGCTGCCAGGAAAAACCCCGTCCCGAGGGGACAACGGCGAAACCCACGTGTGATCCCGAGGGCGCTTTGTGACACTGCCTCGTGCCGACCCCGTTGTTTGTGCTGGTTGTTGCTGTGCTGGAAGGGGCTGGCAGCGAGAGCTGCTCCGTGGGTCCGCCAATGCTGCTCGGATCCCACACGGACCGTGCAGAGCCTCGCGGTGCTCCTCGTGTCCCAGGGAAATCCCGCGGGATGTGCGGTGCTTCCCGGGAGCCTCGGGTTCCCTGGGGAGCCGGGGGCTCCGCGCCCTGGGTCTGCCCAGGGCTCCGGGGCAGGGCTGCTCCCCGGCGCACGCGGGCCCTGCCGCTGCTCTTGCCGCGTCCTTGTGCTCGGGAGCTGCAATTTTAAGCGCCTTCCGCGGCTCCTCAGTCACCTTGGTGGAGGAAGGCTGGGAGGCTTTAGCGGCCGACCTCTTCCTCAGCTCCCTAAGCCTCTTAGGGGCTTCTGGCCGCTACGTGGTGCGGATGAGGCTGCGGAGACGTGGTGCAGGCCAGGGGGGTCCCGAGCGTGGAGCGTGTGGCTCCTGCACGTGGGGCGCCCGCAGGGCAGTGCTCCCGGCACGCGCCAAATCCCCGCGGCTCTCGGGCCCCTCGTGTCCCCGGCCCCGCGCGGGGGACAAGGACACGGCACGGGGACAAGGACACGGCACAGGGACAAGGACACGGCACGGGGACAAGGACACGGCACGGGGACAAGGACACAGCACAGGGACAAGGACACGGCACGGGGACAAGCTCCCACAGCAGCTCCCTGAGGTGTCGCTGCGTGTGGCCGCTCCGAGCGTCCCGCGCTCGCTGCAGCCCCCGGCCCGCGCAGGCTTCCCGGCCCCACGGGATGCTCTTTCCTCCTCAAAACTCCGTCATCTTCCTCCGAAGGCCCCATCTCCCTCTGTCCCGCCTGGTGGAGCAGAGCCGGTGGCCCCGGGACCTTCACGGAGACGCAGCCCATCCCTCCCTCGGGCCCCGGCAGCTCTTCAGCAGCGCTGGTTAATAAATCTAAGCTGGAATCTGTAATTACCGGCACCGCGGGCTCTGCTGGAGGAGCAGCCGGTCCCGCCAGCTCCGGAGCAGCGCTCCTGCATCCTGTAATCCTATTTGCTGGAGTCTAACTAATTGCCATTAGCGGAAAGGACTGAATGCAATTAAAGCGTGCTGAGATTAAACCTTTTTTGTAATTGCTTTAGTGGGGGGGATTACGGGCGAGTTGGGTGCGATACCATCCCCCCGGCCGCGGGGTGTCGGAGGGCCGCTCGGCACCCACCCAACGGCAGGTTCTGGGGGTCCGAGTGGCCCCCGGGCCGCCCCGGCCCTCGGAGGCGCTGGGAACCTCCTCCCCGCTGCCCAGCAGATCCAGGGCCCTTTGCCAGGGAGCAGGGAGAAGCATCCCAGGATTTGCAGGGAGGCGGCGACCGCAGAGCCCCGTGCAGGGGCCGTCCCAGGCGCCCTTATCCAGGCACCCCCGTGGCAGCGCCCGCACGGGGGGGCGCCCGGATTACCCCCTTCGGGAGAAGGGACATAATCCTATTACCCAGGAGCAGGATAAATCCGGCCCCCAAAAGCCGCCGGAGCACCTATAGGAGCCGCTGCCCGGAGCACCCGCAGGCGCCGCGCGCGGAGCAGAGCCGACCTCGGGCAGCGCCGCGCGGGGTGAGCAGCACCGCGGGCCCGCGGCCCCGGGAGCCCCGTGCTGCCCTCGCCGCCCTCCCGGCTGCCCCCCTTTTTCCTTGCGCAGGAGCCGTCCGGAGGCGCCGGCACCGCGGGAGCCGGGGGGCTGCCGGCCCCCGCGCAGCCATGAGCCTGGAGCCCCTCAAACCGGAGATCAAGTCGGCCACGCGGGTGACGGGGGGCCCCGCCACCCCCCGCAAGGGCCCCCCCAAGTTCAAGCAGCGGCAGACGAGGCAGTTCAAGAGCAAGCCGCCCAAGAAGGGGGTGCAGGGGTGAGTGGGGCGGCGCGGTGCCCGCGCCGGGGCGGGCGGTCGCTCCAGCCGCTCGCTCTGCCTCTGCCCGCAGGTTCGGCGACGACATCCCCGGCATGGAGGGGCTGGGGACAGGTAAGGGCGCGGGCAGCGCCGCTGCGCGGGGACTGGGGATGCGGCGGGGCCGTCCCCGAGCCGGCCGCTGCCTTCCCCGCAGACATCACCGTCATCTGCCCCTGGGAAGCCTTCAGCCACCTGGAGCTGCACGAGCTGGCGCAGTACGGCATCATCTAGCGCCGCCCGCGCCGCCCCTAGCGCCGCGTAGCTAGCGCCCCGTCCCCGCGGCAGCGCCCAGCCCCGACAACGCTCATTAAAACCCCGAGAACGAGCCCGGAGCTGGTGTGGTGGCTGGCGGCGTGCGGGGGACCCGCTGGGGACGTGTCCCTTCCCAGGGCGCAGGGCGAGGCGGTGGCAGCTCCCAGGGTGGCTAGTGGTGGCCCTGCCACCCTTGGGGCCAGGGGGACCCCGCCATGGGGCACATCCCCCCCTGATATCCCTGCCCTGGGCGAGCCGGGCTGCTCCGGGCAGGAAGCACCGGGAGAGCCAAACAGGGAGGGGGTGACGGACACAGCGCGGGGACCGGCAGCTCCGGCCTCCGTGGAGGGCTGTTCCCGCTCCGTGTGGGAGGCAGGGCGGGAGAGCTCCTGGCAGCCCCGCGCGCGGCACGGTGTGACCGTCCCCGTGTGCCCCAGGCGGGGAGCGCAGCACCCCGCACCCCGCGCCCTGCCACGGAGCCCCCCAGCGCCGCGAGCGGCCCCGGGCCGGCCGTGCCAGCCGTGGTGCCCACCCGCCCGTGGAGCCAGGGCGGCCGGGCCATTCGGCAGCACCTGCGGGCAGCATGAGGCCGCAGGAAAACTGCGGGATGCATGGGGAGAAGCGCCCGGGAGCACTGCCCGGGGCTGCAAAACCCTCCTGCCATCCTCCATCCCGCTGCCCCGGCACCGCGACCGGCCTCGAGCCTTCCTGCTGCTCGTCCTGCACCCCCGGGCTGCAAACCCTGCTGCCGCCGGCCCGTGTGGGCAGCAGTTGCATGCAAAGCTGCATCGCGCCTGCCCCGCACGCGGCGCGGGGTTGCAACCCCTCCTACCAGCAGCTCTGCATCCCGATCCCCCTGCACCAGCTTGCAGTCCTGCAGGCCCAGCCCTGCCCCGTTCCCGCACCCCGAGGGTGGTCGCTCTCCCGGGGAGGGCAGCAGCGGAGGCCGCAGCAGCAGAGGCCGCATTCACAAGGCAGCACAGCAGACAGGGGTGCAGGGTGTCACGCAGCAGCCCCCCCTGTGCCCCCTGTCACCTGCTGCCAGTGTCACCAGCCCCACTGCCAGCCCCATGGCCAGGGCCAGCAGCCCCAGCAGCAGCTTCCAGGCTGGGGACAGGCTCTTCATGAGGTGCCCCACAGCACCCTGATGGTCCTGGGTCACAGAGCCTTCATCATCATCATCACCATCACCATCAGCATCCTCCTCATTGGAGCAGACGGGCAGCTCCACCAGCCTGGAGGGGTGCGGGACGCAGAGGAGTTGCTCGCCCCAGACCCCCCTGTGCCACCCCACACTTGGGGCACCCTGTGGTGACCGTGGGGACACTGGTGGTGTCACCCCAGGGAACAGCCGGGTCCCTGCTCAGCACCATCCCGACCGTCATCGCAGCCCCCGCCCCTCTCCGTGCCATTAAAGGGGGCTGTGGTGGGACGCCCCTTCCCGCACATCGGAGCGCGCTCGCGGTCCCCGGGCCGGACCGGAGAGAAGGGGCGGCAGGCGCGGCGGAACGGCCGCGCGGGGCAGCGTTGCCGGGGGAGCGCTGCGCGCGTGGCACCGAGGCAGACAGGGGAAGGCGGGCGCGTGGCACCGCCCCGGCGCTAGGAACCGTCGCGCCGCGGAACGCTGTTGTCGGGGCGCGCGGCGCGGGGGGGGCGGCGG